CACAGGGCTTCAGCACACAGCCTGGGAAATAGCAATCAGATGTGTCATTGCTGCCCAGCTCATTTAGAAACAAGCCCACAACAGCAGGGGGAAATGAAGGCTATTTTGCAGCTCACACACCTAAGCACCAAAGAACGTAGAGGCTTCTCTGGAAATCCCACGGGCGTGCGTATTTCTTTGCAAATGACCTCTGCCCCTGTGCACATGTGTTTGTTTCTAGGAGCAATGGCACTGGGTTCCGGACCCGGCTCCCATGTGTTGAGCGGCGCCCCCACATTAAAAACGATGCTGAGACATTCGCAGGGCATACAAGAGTTCAACTCCATTCTGACACTATCTCCCCGGAGGGAGCAGCAGCTTGCACAGGGTAGGAGCTCAGTCCCGCAAGACTGTCCCCCGCCCCCGCACACAGCCACAGCCCGCTCCTCCCTGTGTAAGACTGACTACGGACTGGAGGGCCCAAGAGCCCCTCTGACCCCCAGTGCCAACCACACGTTCCTTTCAAATCTTCAGAGGCACCTACCTCGCTCCTTTTATGTCTGCTCTTCTGCAAGCTAAGAACCCCTATTCCTTTCAACGCCCCTCACGTGATGAAGTGTCTGTCTGTTGTTACCTCTGCGGCATCCATTGCTCTCTTTTCCCAACATCCCTAATGTCCAAGTGGGACCCCCTGTGGTTCTGGAGAAGCTGACTCCCGCTCCAAGTGTAAATACATGACCAGGGCTAGTACTCCGCTCTCCTGGCCACTGGGATGACGTGAGGTGTGGGTACTTGATGTCAGCCTGTCCAATCAGAGTAAATCTCAGGGCTTCAGCCCATTGGTTCTAAGGTGCAGGATGGGTTGAGGATGCTTGGAAACTCGGGCTGTAAAAAGAAGAGCCTTCCTGAAAATGGCACTACTATCCAAAAAGCTGGGGGAGAGAGGAGAGATCTGAGTCCCACTGGCCTCGTGCAAACCCCCAGACACGCCTTGTCTGAAGGCAGTTCTTCCGAATTATGTGGTTTCAGTTACATGAGCCAATAAGATCTTTTTTCTTTCTTTTTTTTGCTTAGCCCAGTTCTGTAACTCGTGACTAAAAATATCCCAACTGACACGTGTGAGACGGCTCTTTCCCGTGGCTGCCTTCCTGTGGACACACTCCAGGGTGCCAGTGGCTGCCCTCCCAGGCCCCCAGAACAAACCCTGCTACTCTCTTTAGATGGGTGCGGCCCGGTGACGGCCACGGAGGCCTCCCGTGAGCCTCAGCGGCCATGTGGTGTTATGTCTGAACCTGAGACCGAGTTAGGATTCAGAGCATCTCCGTAAACGCTGCATTGTCCCTTGGTGACGCTGGATTCCTGAGTCGCCCGGCTCCGGGGCCCATCCATGCTTGGCGTCGCTGTGCTGTCTCTACGGCCTCTTGAGCGCTGTGTGTTTCAGTGCCGCACACCTGTCTCTGTCGCTACATCCTCACGCGCTGCACCCATCACTTCATATCCTACTCGACGCCATCCTCTGTGGACCTGATTTCTTACAATGCTGTGTTTCTGAAATATCGTTCTTTAAAAATTACATGTATGTGTGTATGCATATAATCTATACACACATATGTATACACACATATATAATTTTAAAGAAAAATAGTATATATACACCTACATATATGCACACATGTGTGTAAAATTCTTACTATTGCCTTCATACATACGAATATCTGAGCAAAACCCTGCTCGTATGGCTGTCGGCCAGGACAGGACCTTAGTTATGTTAAACTAGACAGCGTGATGATGGCTGTTAAAACGAGGTTCTGCCTATACTTAATCCTTCTCCAAAAAAGGAGATATTTCGTTTCAGGGAGGTATCTAGGAGTTACAGCAAGAAACACTGCAAAAGAATGAGGGACGTGTGTTCTGTTAGAAAGCCGTGCCAGTGCCGGCGGCAGCTGCTCCTTCCCCGGGCTCACGGGCCACAGCCCTGGCCACGCTGCCTGGGCCCCCACAGAGGCCCGGGGAGGGCTGCCTTCTACCCAGCGGCTCGGACCTTTAGCAAACCGCTATCATTTCAAGAAAGCTTCTCTTACTGTCTTTTTAAAAATCGAATGGTTCTTTAAACAATAGATTAAAAATTCACATAATTCCAGAGCCTAGATGCACAGAAGGTTACACAATGAAAAGTCCCTCCTACACCTAAAACCCCAACACTTGGTTCCCCTCCTGGGAGACAACGTTCCCTTCCTTAGTCATCCTTCCAGAGATATTTGATTATCATTTTCTGACTGTCGTATGTTTTCCCCGGAGACGCGTAGCTGAGACATTTTATCTTGTTTTGCCACACTTTCTCTTTCCTATCTCTTCTTAGGGGGGACAAGGCTGGCCTCCCTTGAGGACTCTCTTTCACAGGCCAGTTTGCCATTGGGTGACATTGGGTGACATTGGTTTTCTCTTCCATGCAACTCCAGTTTTTTGCTCGAGCTGGGAATACGTCTGTACGTGACAGCTGGCGGGCCCAGTCACCTTCCAAAGGGTGATGGATGGGACCAGGAGGAGCGACCGTTCCCTAATATCATTAACTGCAAGATTTTTGCAAGCTCAAAATCCTCAGAACTGACAGTTGCCTCCAACTGCTACCAGCTGTTAATTTGGCCGAGGTGGGGGGTCTGCCCCCGCTCGGACAGACGATCTGGGACAGCGGCTGCTCACTAGGCGTCTCCCTGCGCAGCCTCTGTGACACTCGGTTCTGAGTTTCATAGGCCTAAAAATAATATCCTAAACCGCATCTATCACCATGCTGCTGTGACAAGGCTTTGCGAATGGCACGACAGCGGGGTGCCACCTTGCTGTGTTCTGAGACTCAGTTTTGTTGGTGCTCGGAGGTGTCAGGTTCTCAGGACCCTGCTACACAAATCAAACTCCCAAGAGACGGATGTCTAATCAGATTAGCAGCTTCTCTGTTTGCGACGGGAAATGTATTCTCCGGAACCAGAAGGCTGCTATGTGTAGGTAGGCACCATGTCCCCTGCAGAAATTTTTTATCCAAAAATTTGATGAGAATGGAGTCACAAAAGATATCATGTCCTAGCCCTGATGCATACAGGATAAGGAGGACAATTCCTGATTCACAAGAGAGAGTCCTAGAATGCAGTGTCTTGTATTCGGTTCATTTATTCATTCAGCAAACATTTTGCAAGCCTGCCAACAGATTTGCTATAAAGCTATTAAAAAGGAAGTTTTCTGGCTCCTCTCAAGACTGTGGGAGGGGCCTTCATAATACCTTTACACATTCATATGCTTTTGTAAAATTTGCAAAAATAGGTACTTTATTTTATAGGTGTTGAAAATGGAATCAGTTAAGACTTCATCTCTCTGTGTCACCTCAGCCACACTCCCTCTTGAGCTGGGTGGCAGTGGAGTTGCCACAGGCAGTTTGGGAATCTGGCAAAGGGGAAGCTGACTTAGGGATACATCTTGTGTGGGATTAGTAGCTCGCCATCACTTCTGTGAATAGTGAAGTCGTTGCTGGCTTTCCGACATCAGAGCAGCTTTGGGAGTGCTCCCGCAGCCCACTGAGCCTGCTCGCCCAGCGATGAGACAGAAGAGACCTATTGCATCAAAAGTATGTGGCAAAGAGAGCTTGCAGGCGGGAGGGAGCTGGAAAGTAGTATTTCAAGTCATGAAAGGCAAGGACCTACATCCCAGATTGCTCTATCCAGCAAAGCTTTCATTTAGAATGGAAGGGCAGATAAGTGCTTCTCAGATAAGGTCAAGTTAAAGGAGTTCACTACCACCAAGCCCTTATTATATGAAATGTGAAAGGGACTTATCTAAGAAAAAGAAGATAAAAAACATGTACAGTAAAATGACAGCAAACTCACAATTATTAACAACCACACCTAAAACAAAAACAAAAGCAAACAACTAGAACAGGAACAGAACCACAGAAATGGAGATCCCATGGAGGGTTAGCGACAGGACAATCAGAGGAGGAGAGAAGGGTAAAAGGTACAGAGAATAAGTAGCATAGATGGTAGGTAGAAAATAGATAGGGGGGTGGTAAGATTAGTATGGGAAATGTAGGAGCTAAAGAACTTATGACACATGGCCATGAACTAAAGGGGGGAATGTGGGTGGGAGAGGGCATGCAGGGTGGAGGAGAATGAAGGGAGGGTAATGGCATATGTAATATGTAATATGGCATATGATTATGTAATAGCATAATCAATAAAATATGTTTTTTAAAAGTACATGGCGGTTGAAAGAGAACGAAGGACTGAAATATTCAGTCAGAAGCACATTCATGGAAATGTCTTCGTTTTCACACATATGAAATTCTAACTAGAAAATTCAGTTCTCTTTCATGCCTAATGAAAGTTTTTCCCATCTGGAATATAATGAATTATGCAGTGCATTCAGTGATAAACATGTCGCACATTTTTTCCCTTTTTTGATGGAAGTAGGCCCAAATGGAACACATCAGAACCTGTATGGGTATGGTAGTAGTTATAAACTACGAATACATCTGTATAGGAATTTGAATACTTGGTGCACCCCCGTTAGCAATATTAAAGAAAAATTTGTTGGTCAAGCCAGAAGAATGAATTATCTTCCTGTTCTCTCTATATAAAGTGATAAGGCAACATTGTTTCTATAGAGATTATCCAAATTTTAAAACACAGGAAAAATAGAATTATAGAAGTGTTTTAGGCAGTTAATTTAGACAGATGTCATTTTTTAATCAAGATTTTGTGTGTGCAGTATCTGTCAGCTTTAAAAATTGACCTCCTGAGATCATCCCGATTAAATGTGGTATTTCTGAGAACTTGACAAAGTCTTTCCTAACTATTGAGTACATTGAAAAGAATAATATGTTAATATATAATATACGTTATAGATGTATATACATGCATGTGTTGTGTGTAAATATATACATATATGGATGCATATCAAGTACACGTTATAGACACACAGATACATATCAAGTATTCAAACTTGAAGTTTTTTTTTAAATTTACTATTTATTTATTTAAAATACAGAATGCCTCATGAATTTGCGTGTCACTCATGCAGCGGCCGTGGTCATCTTCTCTGTATTGTTCTGGTGTTAGTCTGGTGCTGCCAAAGTGAGCACACCGACCTCGCTGGAACAGTCACCCTGTGCCTTCCTCCCCACACAGTGCCCTGCCCTCCCCCTCGGAGATAAGCAGTGTCCTGAATGATGCAAACAGCATTCTTTGTTTTCCTTTATACTTTTCTCCCTAAACACTACATTGGTTAGTTTTGCAGATGTCTGATCTTTACACAAATGGAGTCACTAGGTGTGACCTGCTCCCTTGCTAAACGTTATGTTTCTAAGATTCATTCATATTTTGGCGACTCATTGATTTTTACCACCATACGCTATTTCATTATTTGATAGACGTCGCTATTTATTTATCCATTTACTATTATTGGTAAATGTGGAGGCTACTTCCTGGTTTTGGCTTTTGAAAGTCATGTTACGCTGGTCATTCTGTGTCCCTGGAGCACGTGTGTCTCTCTGAGGTGCTAACTAGCATGGAATTGCTGGGTTATGGGCTTTGTGCCTCTTCAGTTTGACTAGATAATCCCGATAGTCTTCAAACATTATTGTACCAATTCACATGCCTATCAGTTGCATTTGAGAGTTCCTTCCTATTGCTCCAGGTACTTGTCAGCTTATGATCTTAATTTGCATCTTCCTGATTACTAATGAGTTTGAGCGTCCTTCCATATGTTTTCCTGATTTTTCTGTTGAGCTGTGTGTTTCTTATTTGCTTTGAAGGAATTATTTTATATCTAATTATAAATTGTTTGCCAGTTATAGTTTACATATATCTTCTCCAAGTTTGTGGTTTGTCTTTCATGACCAGGTTGTATTTTAAGACTGTTAAATATATTCATCTTTTTCTTTGGGGATTTTTTTTTTATCTTGTTCAAGAAATCATTCCTTGCCCTTGGGTCCTAAAAATATTCTTCTGTGTTGTTTTGTAAAAGTTTTATAGTTTGGCCTTATACCCTTATGCATTTAATCCACTTGAAAATTGATTTAGGGGGTATGATCTATGATAGACATCCAAATTCATTGTTTCTCTATGGATAACCCATTGTCCCAGCACCCCTTGCTGATCCTTTTCCTACGACCTGTGCTGACAGTACAGACCTAATTCAAGTTTTCACATCGCTGGGGTCTGTTATAAGTTCTTGATTCTGTTTTGTTGGTCATTCGGCTATTCCTGAACTAACACCACACTCTTAGTTACCACAGCTTATGTTCAGTCTCCATATCTTTCAGGGGTGTCCACCCCGCCCCCCACAGGCCGCATGCAGCCCAGGATGGCTGTGAATGCGGCCCAACACAAAATCATAAGTTTACCTAAAACACTATGAGACTTTTTTTGGTGATTACATGTTGCAATGTATTCAATGTGTGGCCCAAGTCAACTCTTCTTCTCCCAGTGTGGCCCAGAGATGCCAGGAGGTTGGACTTCCTGTTTCAGAAATGTGAGATGATTAATCTGCGGCCCACCTTCGACCTTGCCCTCCCCAAGCTATTCTTGGCATCCTGCTTCACACATGTGTTTTAAACTAGCTCATCAAATCCCCAAAATGGAAAACAAAACCTCTGTTGTAACTTTGATTAAAAATTGCCTTGAATTTATAGGACAATTTGGGGAGAACTTGTCTGCCTATGAAATTGAGACCTCCAACACGATATGGCCTCTATTTCCATTTCAATAAACTTAAAAACAATTTTTTGGTATGTCATGCACTTCTTCTGTTACGTTTATCCCTCCTGTCAGAAACAACAATATACTGTGTCATTGCTGTCCAACTGGTTCAAAAGCAGATCCACAACAAAAGCAGGTGCTGGAAATAAGGGTGGTTTGCAGTTCACACACGTAAGCACCAAAGACGTACCGCGTCCTGCTTTGTTTTATCTTTTTCTGTTCTGGTTTTCTGTCTTTTCTTGCCTTCTTTTGGACAGATTGAATACCTTTCTTCATTCCATTTGCCTTTCCCCATGAGAGTTTGGAAATCATACACTGTATTCCCGCTTTTCTCACAGCTGTGCAAGAAAGTTTGGCCTGAATATTTAACTTGTGGGAGCCTAACATTTATCGATACCTTCACTTTTCTCTCAAAACAAGACTCTCTGAACATTCTAGATGTCATCACTTTTTGACTTAAATGCTGTTATTGTACATGTGTCTTTATTCTGTATTGATTTTTATCTGCTGAGGTATTGTTATTTTATATAGGTTAGATTTGTTTATGTTTACTCACATACTTACCACTTATTTCTCCTCATCTCTTCTTGCATCTCAGAGTTTCCATTGTGGATTATGTTACATCTACTTGAAGTATATTCTTTTTTTTGTTTTTCAAAGTATGTTCTTTCTTTATTATTATTTGTTTTAGAATTTCCTTCAGTTAATTGGCAAACTCTCCCAATTCTTCAAAGATACTTTTTTGCTGGCTCTACAGTTTTAGTTTGCTTATTTTCTCTCAACCCATTAAAGATAATATTTTACAATTTTCTGGCATCTGCTTTGACTGGTAAGTCATTCCTTTGAAGATAATGGTTTTTTTTTTTCTCTCCATCTTCTAAGATCTGTTTCACTGTTCTGTTCTGCAGTAGCACTATATGTGTAAGTATGATTTTTAAATTTTATTCATCTGGCTTAGGATTCTTAAAAACTCACACCGAGATATTACCACAGACCGAAATTGGAAAGATAGTTGGGGGTCAGATTACACAAGGTTTTGAAAGTCATTGCTATGGAGCAAGGATTTGATTTTGTAGAGTGGTGATCTTAAAACTTTGTGTCTGTGAACATTATACAAAAACTTTGAAAAATACGTGTTTCTTTGCACATATTTCAATTGACATGTATAATTTTCATCATAAGGTTAAATACGTTTGTCTTGCTAATAAAAAAGAGAATATGCTCAATATTTTAGAAATTAAGGTGAGGATTAGCTAAAACTGAGGTATATTTTAAGCTATGCTTTGAATATATTGCATTTGCTAGATATTTGGGTGTGATTATATACTACTTGAAATACATTTGTATGCTTATGGAAGAAAGCATATCAACTTTAAAATACATTACATATTTTTCTTCATCAGTTTTATCAGCCATGTCTTACAATGTTTGTATTTTAAAACATCACAGTTTCCTTTAAAAGGATAAGAACCACGTCCCTACGCTGCAGCAGATGTTCTGAATTTAGGCCATCCCAACATAAGGTCAACACTGTTCTGACTTCCAGCTTCTCTCTTAACAGACATGTGTGTGTAGGGCACGAAAAGGCAGGAAGACCCAGGGGGCTTTGCTGAACCGTGACGGGGGTGTCCCTGAACTCAGTCGTCACTCCAGGTGGTGCAATCAGTGACACATTCTCCAGTGTCATCCTCACCATGGGTCTAGCATCTGTGTGTGAGGTCATCTATCTTTACCTCTCCCGCCCCCAGTCTGTGTGCAGACAGACGTGGATGTCCCGCATTTACGTTTTGGAAATGCATTTGTGCAGACATAGCAAATTTTGCCACCGACAAGTATCTGCTTCCAAGGACGAGGAAGTGAGGACCTTCTTCTTGGGGCAAAAATAATTGGCTGTGAAGAGGTCCATTCATAACCCCGCCGTTTCGTCTGCGGGTAGATGACCTCGTGGGCAGCTCCTCCTCTGTTCTTTACCGGCAGCGTCAGACAGAAAACGGGCACGAGGCAGGACAAAGAGTTTTTTCATGAGAACATGGAACGCTTACATGATTGCAATATTTTGAAGTTAGAGTTACTATTAGTTATTTCTACTTTCTTATCCAAAAAAAAAAAAAAGAGAGAGAAACATGGGCAAAATGTCATGGCAACTTTGGATCTACAGGGAGGAATTTTTGGCAAAAACTTTGTAAAATATGTACAAGGTTTAATATATAATTTATGGTTAGTGTTAACCATCATCAGTTACAGGTTTACACTTAATGTACTAACCCTTGAGTGTTAGAGGAGATACAGAGTCACTGGTGATAAGAGCATAACTCGAGAATCAGCCCTGGCTGGTGCGGCTCCGTGGATTGAGTGCCAGCCTGCAAAGCAAAGGGTCGGTCCCCAGCCTAGGGCACACGCCTGGGTGGTGGGTCAGGTGCCCAGTGTTCAAGAGACAACTACACGTTGATGTCTCTCTCCCTCCCTCCCTCCCTTCCCATCTCTAAAAATAAATAATATCTTAAAAAAATAAAAGGAATTAGATTTCCTGGGTTCAAATCCCCGTTTTACCCCAAATTAGCTCTGGGAACTTAGATAATTCTCCAGACCTCCTTATATCTCGGTCTGCTCATCAGAAGTAGAGGAACAAAAGAGTGTTCACTTCAGACGGTCGTTTTGGGGATGAAACGAGTGCCCCGGGGTCCGCTCCTGTAAGGTGGTCTCTTTCTCGGGGGGAGGTCGTGGGTGCGACGCCTCACACGCGAACAGTGTTCCGTGCAGGGCCTGCCTCGTCGGGCGACATCAACACGGGTGTTTAATTCCGCGAGGGAGGACATAATTCTGCCTTGACAACGCAAAATGAAATGCTTATTTTACTTCCACACACCACGTTACAGCTGGGAATGTGGGCATTAACATACTGCACTGGGAGGGAAACAGGCAAGGCATTAACTTCGGAGAGAAAATTCCCTCGACGCCCTCGCATTTCATTCATGAATCACCGAGTGAATGTAGTGGAAAAGGAGAGTAAATATATGTAAAGACTTAAATGAGCTTCTCAAGTTTAAGGGGAGCGTATCGTGGTTTTAGTTCTCTCTTCAACTCTATCATGGAAATGTAGTGGTAACATAATTTCTCCATTGTATATTGAATTAGTTCTGCGCTTTAGCTCTAATTTGTTGAGGTAAACATGTTACGGCAAGACACTAAATTACTTAAATCGAATGCTTTTTTATCATGTAATCATGATCAGGTTACACGCTCTAGCTTCTAAGTGGCATTAAACTGGGTTTATATAGCATTAAAGCATCCAGATAAAAAAATAAAGGGGGCCACTCAGTTATCCATATTTTTCATAAAACACCAAAATAAATATTTAGACACATTTATAGGATTGTCTGA